ATTATAAAAATATTAATATTTTCCGAGAAAATTAGTGTGTTAACACCATGGGGATCACTATGTATACATTAGGGTGTAGTAAAAAAAGGCAATTTTTTAAATCGTTTTCGTAATACCTTACAAAATTAGCGTCTTGGTGTACCGGATGATTGGTTAACTATGGACCACTCAATATCTTAGAAGATATTAGACTTTTTTCATTTTTTTTTTTTTTTGTACTATTATAGTTATTAGGTGGGACAAATTTAATGTATTTTTCAAAATTTTAACACCATCCCTTATGCGTTAAAACCATATCAACTTTGGATTTTTAAATGGTAACCCCCAATTTTTTTTTGATGATCGTGTTTATTTTTTTAAAATTTAATTTTAGGCGTAAAAACTAGGTAAATCGATTGAGTAGTTAACGAGCTACACAGTTTTAAAATTAAAGGGAGTGTAAAAAATAAATTAAATATCTTGGAGACGCTAACATATTAAGGTGACACTTGACTGCTCTGTTATTATTTATTGACAATTAACTTTGACAATAGCTATAGTAGCGTTTAAAAATCATAACCGTACCAAACACTATTTACTTTAGGTAAATAATTCACCGATAGTAAATAATAATGATAACCGCTATATCGACTGACAAATATACCACCACTACACACTTTTACATTTATTTTATAAAATAGTAGGTATGTTTAATTTGTTATCAATACCTTGTGTATATTTTTCCAGCATTTAGCAATTATATGTTTTGGTTAATTTGACACATTTTGTTCATTCATGCGATTTGTACGTCTTAATTTCATAGTATATTATAATAATATAGTATCATAACTTACTAGATCTATGAACTTGTCAACATTTATTGTGTTTTAAATAATAACATTGATATTAAATATCCATAATCAATGTGAATACCGAGATGGAGTTTTGCTCAAGTGACAAGTCTAGAAAACCTTACTTATAAAATGTATGCACATCAAATATCAAAATTAAAGGTACTTATAATAATAATATGTTATTTCAAATAAATAGAGTAATTTGAATTATGCTTGATGATATTTTAAATAAAACTTTTATTTTTACAGTATTATGTCTGTTCTGAGAAACTTATAAATGTGTAGTTTTGTGTTTTAATATATTGGTATCTGAATTCAAAGAAAAAATATAAAATTTTTTATGAAAAAATTGAATCTTCAATCATCATTTACTGAATCAACAATAGGTAAGATAATGTATTTATTAATATAGGTGTATTGTATAAGTACATTTTTTTATTAGAAAAATATAATTAATCGTTTTTTATTTTTCATGAACATATAAAATGTTTTTAAATAATAAGTTTTTTTGGATTACTTATGTTTATCATACTTAATATGTTTAATTAAAATGCGTTACTTAAAAATTAACGTTTGACTTAAAAATTATCATACTTGTATAATTATAAAAAATATATGTGTATACTGATATTTGTTGCTTAACCATATAATTATTTAAGTATCTAAGGAACTTATTTAATTTTTTTAATTATATGTTTCAGTATGTTCAATATTAATATGGACTATCTCAACTTAAATTGATATTTGTTATTGTCTACAACTACACTACTACCAACGTCAAATTTGGTGTATTATATTATTGTAGTCAATCAGTCTAATCTTATTCCATCAATACATTGTCAAATGTTGTGGTATTCAATTTTCAGTAAATTTATAGGTGTTTTATTTTAAGGTAAAATATATAAGATCATCAGTTTGCAATAATTTAGTTAATTTCTATGAATTCATCTCTAACAATTTATTTTTATTATTATTTTTTTTTAGTTACTGTGGCACACTATTGCAGATAACGAATTTCCATTAAGTCAGTAAGAAGAATAAGATGGATTCACAAGTTCAAATCAAATATTAGACAACTATATATATTTAGTTATTCGGCTAAAAATGTAATTCAATAAAATAATTTAAAAGTACTTTATCATTTTAAAAGTGACATAAAGTTTTTAAACACACATATACTTAACATATCTATAATTGTTATACATTATTTATTAATTATTAATGATGAATTCTTTATTTAATATTAATTTAATCTAAAATGCTGCTGAGAATGTTAATATTTCTAAAATATGTTATTGTCTTAATCCAAATCTTGAAATTATTTTCATGATGGCATAGTTTTGGCATTAGCTATTACAGAATTTATTGACAACTTTCTAGTGGTTTACGATTAAGTTTTTATAAGTAATAAAGTAAATAAAATTATAAAACACAAAATAGAAAAAAAAAAAATGTTAACTATTGAATTAAGTGTAAAAAAGTAAATTGAATGAATATACTTATAAATATTTTTTAACTTAAATATGTAAATGGAGATGGATTTCTTCTAGTGGGAAATTATCAAACAAACTTTACTGTCCAAGGTAACTTCCTATAAATACATCACTATATACAGCAATATGTTGTACCTCTATTATTTACAAGTTAATTATAGATATGTTAATTTTATTTAGTCTTAGTTTTTCAATATGATTTAGCAAATAAAAATGTTTATTCGTATCTTATAAGCGTATTATTTATCTTGTTACTTGTTTTTTTATTTTACTATTATCATAATAAACATAACATAATATAGTATTTAAATGTTTGTTAGTAATATTATTATTGAATTTTAAGCTTATGACTGTTAAAAAAGCCATACAAAAACAAAAAAAATTGTACTTTTTCATTGTCACTCTAAATTTTTGTTTATACCTCGTACAACGAAAAAAACAATCATTTATTAAATAAAAAACATACTTTTACTCTTCATATTATGAACACATTAAAATAAGTAAGAATAGTCAATACTATGAAATATATACAGTATAATATAGTAGTGTAATATAATAAAGAGTTAATAAATAAATACAGCTTTTAATAATTAAAAATACTGAACTAGAAATAGTTAAAATTAACGCGTTACAACTTTAAATTATAAAAATGAAAATTTATTTTGGTGCACAAGTATTGGATGAACGTATTTCTTATGGAATCCTTTGTTATCTAAACATTTTAAGAAACACACTAGATGCCTTATAAAGATGTTGTTTGACATCTTAAGTACCTATCATAACCAGTTCAGACAAATGCTAAAATAGTTTCTGTACATATTAAGTTTAGTTTTTGTTTATTTCTGTATATATTCTGTACATATTATCTATTAACTGTATGTAATACAACATTATACTAAAAAAACAAAAAATTGAATGTTATTTATTAAAGTTTTTTTAAAAATATTTTCACTAACAGAATTAATAATTTGACTAGTTAAGACACCAGTACAAGTAACACTTATTAAGACCAAGACGCTAAATATTTAAAGTAAAAACCAAGACGCTAAATAACCATAATAATTGAAAAATTAGAATAATGAACTTTTTTATTAGTTTTCAAGTAGTCGTATTTTTATAATAATTTGTTCTGTGTTGGTATTAATCTACACTAGTAACGAATCGTTTTGGTAGAACCACGGTATATACTCTATATAAGACCGTGATTAGACCACGGTAACCTATGGTTGAAATTGAAAAAAAAAACTATTTACTAGGGCTCATAATATTGTTTGTTAACAGCAGCTAATGCCTAATATTCAATACGTACAGGTACACCGCACCGCTAGGAACACTACAGAAAAAACAGATAAGAAGACATTACCCATATAATATTGTTATAGATTTATTATTAGTTCGTTTTCATTGTGACCGACGACCGTCAACTATTAACTTTAATCTACAACCGTATCGTTAATCAATCTTATTTTGTGAAACGTGAGATCCGGCGATAAACGATTTTTTTCTTTAGCTGTAAAACTTATAAAAGCATCTCATATAAGCTAATATTATAATATTGTAGTACTAAGCTATAACTTTAAAAGTACTTGTCTGATTTATCTAGTTTTTACGCCTAAAATTAAATTAAAAAAAAATAAACACGATCATCAAAAAAAAATTGGGGGTTACCATTTAAAAATCCAAAGTTGATATGGTTTTAACGCATAAGGGATGGTGTTAAAATTTTGAAAAATACATTAAATTTGTCCCACTTAATAACTATAATAGTACAAAAAAAAAAAAATTAAAAAAGTCTAATATCTTCTAAGATATTGAGTGGTCCATAGTTAACCAATCACCCGGTATATATTTCCAAGTATATAAGTACTTGCACAAGACCGGTGACGGGTTAACGTATACAACGATTTGTTTTTGAAAAATCGATCAGGACATGAAAAAAAAACCGCCCCCCCCCCCCCCGAAATTCCAGGAAATTTTTTTTAAGTCTGCCTAAGCGGCATGAGCTTATACCCTTTATCTATAGGATATAAATATTGTAGAAGTTCAGTATAGTCGTTTTAAAAATAATAAATTGCTATTTATGATTTTATTTTTATAACACAACGACTGATGTTGTTATTATCATATTTTGGGCGGCTGATTTACGGGCGCCAATTGTCTTCAGTCTTGTGGCAAAGCGTAGGGATAGGAGTGATCATCGTCATATTATTTCGGTTTATTTCGCGATACATGCAGTGTACACTACTATTGTAGAGCTATTATAAATAAATACAAACAATTAAACATCAGTAGTATATTTTATATTGGGGAAAAAATGTCAACGATAAAAAAAAAAGATTGCTATAGCCTGTATACATATATACCTACTTATATCAATAACAAATCAAACTAATCGCAGATGTTATAGAAATAATAGAATAATAATTATGTTATATAAAAATAAAGCAAAAACGAAATGTTTTTATTTGTTTTTTGTATGGTATGTTAAGAATTGGGGGTTTAGCTTGCCAAGAAATATTATCGAATTCATAGTATATTTTACTAATAACGTGTGTAGACGTGTGTACAGTGTTCTGTGTTCTGTGTTTCTGTTGTGTAAAATTAATTTTATTAAAATAATATAATGAAACGAACTCAGTCATTGTTAACTTTTTTTAAAAAATCTAAACAGTCAACCGATCTGGAACGAACTGTTCCATCTTTATCAAATGTTTTCCAAGATGAAGACACTGTGGCATCTGAAACAAAACAAGCCGCTTCAAGTGTAGAAGTTAGTTCTCCGGTAATTAAACATATTTTAGATTCTAAGTTTGATATAGGAGCTTATGTTGAGTTGAAACAAAATTTAAGTGACGAAGAAAAGGTTTCTATTTTACAAAACGTATGGACCCCTGATTGTAAGTTTGATTTTCCATATGATACTACTGGAAAATATAAACGTAAATTTCAAATTAAATGGCTTGACACTTTTAAATGGTTGGCTTATTCAAAATTAAGAGAAGGTTCTTTTTGTAAATACTGTGTATTGTTTTTTAATTCAAGTCAGGCTGGTAAGGGTTCTCATGAGCAGTTAGGCAAACTTGTTTTAAAACCCTTGACGAAATTGATGCATTGGAAGAGTTCAGAAAACACGAAAAAAATAAATATCATAAAAATTCGTTGCTTACCGCTGATAACATAAAGGCTATTTTAGATAAAAAACAAGATTATATATTGGTACAATTAAATAATAAACGAAAGGATGAAATTTTAAAAAATCGCGAAAAACTTAAACCAATTATTCAAACAGTTAGATTATGTGGCAGACAGCAAATAGCGTTAAGGGGACATGAGGATTCTGGTCGAATCTCTTTAGAAGAACCAAAAAATAACGATGGTAATTTCCGTTGTTTGCTTCGATATCGCGCAAAAAATGGTGATAACGTATTAAAAGAACATTTAGAAACTAGTGGTGGTAAATCTATGTATACAAGCTCACTTATACAAAATGAAATAATTAATGTGTTTGGGGAATTAATTCAATTAAAAATACTTGAAAAAGTATCAAAAACAAATTTTTATACATTACTAGCAGATGAAACCACTGACATATCTCAAGTTGAACAATTTTCCTTATGTATTCGTTATGTTGACGAGGAAATTTTTTCAATTCGAGAAGATTTTCTCACATTTGTTCCCGTTCATGATTTATCTGGTGAAGGATTGGCCAACACGATTAAAGAAACTTTAAAAAAAAATGGGTTTGATTTAAGCAAAATACGAGGCCAAGGTTATGACGGGGCAGCAGCAATGTGTGGTCGTTTTAGAGGTGTTCAGGCAATCATTAAAGATATGTACCCAAAAGCATTATACACACACTGTGTAGCACATTCATTAAATCTTTGCTTATCAGATGCGTCTAAATCTCTAGATATTCGAAATGCTTTTGGTATAATAAGTGAATGTTGCTCATTTTTTAACTGTTCGGCAAAACGAACTACAGTCCTTAAAAATAAAATACTAGAAATTAAACCAAATTCACAATCCACTAAATTAAAATCTTTATGCGAAACTCGATGGGTATTACGCCATGAAGCAGTTATGCTTTTTAAAGAATTTTTAGAACCCATTCTTGCTGCATTAGAACAACTGCAGAATGAATGTTCTGGAACGGATTCTTCAATAAGGACTAATAGTCTTTTACATTGTATTTGTAATTTTAATTTTTTAATATCTGTTTGCGTAACTAGTAAATTATTAAGTTATACTTATAATTTATCTAAATATTTACAAAGTAAAAATATCGATCTTTTTAACGCTCTTAAACAAGTTACCCAGGTGGTTTCTGTGTTAAATACCATAAGAGAAAACGTTGATTTAAAATTTAACGATATTTATAAAGACGCTCAAGGTATTGCTATAAAGTTAAATGTTGAACCAAAAATACCTCGAACATGCAGCAATCAAAAAAATAGAAGCAATGTCCCGTTTAATAATATTGAAGATTTTTACAAAAAAACTATTTTTATACCGTATTTGGACGATATAATAATGGCATTAAATGAAAGATTTTTACCTCATAATGAAACTATAATTTCATTACAATTTGTCTTACCTCGTATCATAGTTGAAAAACCATTTTTTAATTTAAAAAAAGCTGTCGAATTTTATAAAAGTGATTTACCTGGGCTAAACGACATTATAGAAGCAGAGTATGAAATTTGGCAGGCTAAATGGAAAAATATTGAAGAAAACTTAAGACCTGCAACTGCTATAGAAGCTCTAAGAGCCTGTGATCGTTTAATGTACCCTAACATATTTGAATTACTAAAAATACTAGCTATAATTCCAGTATCCACCGCTACGGCTGAACGCAGCTTTTCTACTCTTAGAAGACTTAAAACATATTTAAGAAATACAACTTCTGAGTCCAGGCTAGTAGGACTAGCACTTTTATCCATTCACCGAGACATTGATGTAAATGATGATATGGTATTAGACAAATTTGCCAACAGTGGTAAAGCGAGAAATTTGAATTTAATATAATTTGTTTTACTATTATTATAATTAGTATTAATAAGTATTAATAAGAATTATAATTTTTATTTTATTATATAATATTTTGTAAGACTTGAGATTGTGTAACTAATAATAATTATATCAGAATTATAATATTACAATTTTACACTTAATTTCGAAGTCTTGTTTTTAATAGGTTGGGAAATGGGTAAGTTTGGCCAAATTTTTAAAGTTTATTTCTGGATCAGAATTTAGAAATAACTCTTTACACAGCTCTTTTACTCAATGCCTCAGCCCCTCCCCAAAAAAAATATCTAAATACGCCCCTGGTTGTAACAAATCGAGTTTCGTTTGCATAGAGTTGTTTTCTATTCAAATCTTTAATATAAACAGGGCAAGATGTTTTTTAATGTACGGTATTAATACTAACCTAACCGCCACCACGTGGTACAGGTAGGGTTAAGCGGGACAAATGTAAAAGCGTTTTTTTCAAATGTGAGTAAAAGTATTGAGTTAAAAGTAATTGTCGACGGTATCTAAAAATAGCTTCACTACATATGTTCTGTTGTATAACGGTATTAATAAAAACGATCCAATAACATGCGATATTTCTACAAAATATATTTGCATAAAAAAACAAACCAGTAAACTTGTGAAATACAAAATCATTTTATGATTGTATAAGTGTTGTATATGTGTATAAGACGGGTTACGCACCATGGCTGTGGTGTACAGCTGCTTGGAGTATATACAATTATTTTATACAAAAATAATATAAGTTATGTGAAAATTGTTAATGTATGATAACATTATACGATATGTGAACGTTTCAAATGAATAACGATATAAATTACAATGACAATGACGATTATCCATACTAGAAACAGCGGCAGAAATACCATGATAGTCAGCAGTTTCAGGAACAGTGCATAAGAAGTCAATACAAGTAGCAAAGGTGCAATAGCCGTAAGTAAGAGTACCAGTATGACAATACTAGCAAAAATCAGCACAATAGCTACTGCACTGACCACAACTCCGTAACACACCTTTGCGAATAGGCCTTTGCCCATTTCTCGGATGCCAGTCAGAAAGGTCGTTCCAACAACCTGTTAAATACATTTAAAGAATACAGCGATAGAGTTAAATTCAACAATTAATTTTAAACTTACAAGTTCTGGTCAGTGGGGTAGGTATATAAGTGTTAAAAACAAAATAATATGTAAATTTCTATGAGAAGTTTATTACCTGTGTGTCGACCTGCAGGATCGGAAAATTTGGTTTTCCAAATTCAATAAGTGAAGTTCTGTCAAGGTTTTTGACTTCGGGCAACACCATGCCAAAACCCGGGTAGGAAATCATATGTACACTGCAGTGTAAATGGCGGCTGTCCATCGTCAAATTCCAAATGACTTGTTCTTCCTTATATAACTTTTTGAGAGAGGTATTTTATGTTTTAATAGATTTCGGAGAAACTTTTAAGCACAAAATATTTAAATTTCTATGAGAAGTTTATTACCTGTGTTTCGACCTGCAGGATCGGCAAATTTGGTTTTCCAAATTCAATAAGTGAAGTTCTGTCAAAGTTTTTGACTTCGGGCAACACCATGCCAAAACCCGGGTAGGAAATCATATGTACACTGCAGTGCAAATGGCGGCTGTCCATCGTCAAATTCCAAATGACTTTATCTAGTCCTGACTGGCACGTTGTTCCAATCAACACAACGACCATCAACACAAAAACAGTAAAATACAGTTTAAACATATTGTATTAGCTGTAAGAAATTCTTTGAAACAGGAAAAATTAGCAAAAACAGTTTGGAGAAATATGTTGTTTTACACTGAAAGGTTGCGGTGAAACAAATGTAATATTAACATCAATAATAACAGTTACTATATAAACAAGCCGGTGTAATACATATGTACCTATATCAAGAGTATTTGCCAGCATATAAATAAGTATATAATGTTTTTTAAATAACACATGTGCTACTTTTTCTCTTTTGAGTGCCGTATTCGTATATGTTAGACTTATCTTTTAAGACTAATTTCCAACTCATAAATTCTAAAATTGCGCATTGTTTTATTTTATAAAATATTATTTTACACCAATTCCTTATAACTATAGGTATATTGTAGGACAATGTATTTATTATTTTATCGGGTGAGCCCAGCATTGGTTCACTCTCAAAATAATTGTAATTTTTTAGTTTTTATTTTTGTAAACATTTTTTACTACAATATTGAACAATATTTAAATTTTTATCTTTTTTTTTTTGGCATTTTCTGGAGCTTTATCGACCTTTAAAACTATATATTTATTTAGTTAACTATACAGCGCGATCCAACTAACGTAAAACGCTGATTTTCTCGGAAAATATAATCATTTTGAAAAAACACGTTTTCCTATTCTCTTACGTATAAGTTATACTACATTTTTCAATGCTTTGAACATTTGTATTTTCATTTCTTATACGATTAAAAGGGTCTAAGTTCACGTTTTAAAATGGCAACATATGTTTTTAATTCCATACATTTGTAGGCGAAAAATTTAAAAATATGTTATCGTTTGAATTATTAGTTTTTATCCATCTAGTCGTTAGCTATGACTTTGTAAAGATATTACATTTTCTCTTAAATATTGTTATATTTCTTTGGTTTTCCAAAGACCGGGAGCCAATAAAATACTTATTTATGATCGCATTGTCCGATAGATGAGTATACAGATAACCAAACACAATAAAATGTTTTGTGATAGTTTGGTTGACCAACGATTCATATTTATTGATTACCGACTTTTCTAATACACCGTCATGACAGGTAGGTTGACGGACCTATATTGACAGCGGCTAACGAATGGCTATTTAACCAAAACAATCAAAAACCGAGTTGGGGGTAGTTTTTCCAAAAAATGATAACGCGTGATAAGAAATAAATGTTACATAACCTATAAAATCTGTAATACTACCAGTGGCGGTTTTCCCGGGGAGGCAAGGGAGGCGGTGCCTCCCTTGAAAATTGAGGAAACTATGTACTTAATATTGTTATTATGATGAGATATTTTGGTTTACATTAAATATTTTCAATCGAAAATATTGGAAAAAATGTATATAAACAATAATTTTTGAAAGCGAAAAAAAAAATTTAAGAATTTGAAATAACGTCTCTCCGTATCAGCGGTGACCATCTGAAAGCAACGGCCGCCTTCCGCCGGCCGCTGCCTGTTGTTAGTCACGTGGCATAAAGGCAGCCGGCGGAGGTGGCTGCCGCTAATGTCTCACGTTATGTTGTTGTGTTCACAACATACACACACACACATACATAAAATAATACAAATAGCGCATGCGCAATTCTCTGCGAGAGGCGACACAAAAATATTGCCTTTGTGGGCAACTGGCCGATGATCGTTCTTATCTTGGGGAAGAAATGGGACATAGACATTCAGCATGTACATCAGCACCGACACTGCCAACAACAAAACGCCATTTCCCATTATCACTAAATTATTTATCAGCAGTCCCAATTTGAATTTTGATATCACTATATTTTTTACTTAATTCTGATACCGGTTTACTATTTGGCGTTTTATTTAGTTTTCTTAAGTTTATATATTATTATACTTATTAGCTTTATTTTTTTCAAAATGAATCCTGTATATGACAGTATAGTGGTTATTAAGCAGCATCCATACAGGAAATCGTTTGCGATTATAATTTCATCTTTTGTAAATTGTATTTACATATGTTTTTATGATTATACATTTATCTTAAGTTCGTACATTTTAATGATAATTATTTTAATAGAGGACCGGTAATGCGATTATAACTAATAACTAGGATAATAAGCAAAAGTCTTCTCTTACAGTTAAAAAAGGGAAGTATACCAGTATGAAGAAATTTTAGGTCTGGGGGTTTTGCGCTTTTTTTATCAATAAGGGTACAAAGTTGTTGCCTCCTCAACAATTTAATGCCAGAACCGCCACTGAATACTACAGATAGTACCAACATCGATTTTACCAAAAACCCGCCAAGAGAAATTTCGTCATCAAAAACATTGCCTTTAGTTAGATTCTTATCTTTATTGCAAATTGTAGTTCACGATTAAAGATAATATAGTTGCCCAACGAGCAGACCCCCAAATGTATTTTTCAAGTAAATTACATTTTTACTACGAGAATAAATCAAAAATTTTCGAAGCTGTTGTTCTCCATTTAAAAGTTTCCGATAAAATACACTTTTTTTTAAGTATCGCGTTTTATTCCCAAACTTTACTTTTGTTGACGATAAATCATAGTCAATATTTTGTTTTATTTCTTTTAGTAATAAGCGATCAATTGCCAAATCATTAATTACCCATTCTGCAGGATCCTCGCTGATTAAATCGACTATTGGTACATCATCTTTCTCAATATTATTATTTGAAAAACTTTCTGAGGATGTGACGTTTTGAATATAAGTGATGTCCGTAGTACTGGTACCCGAGTTTGAACAACTAGCGAGCGTTTTTTGTGTAGTGTCAACTTTATTTAAAATAATGTTTAGTTTAAAAAAAGAATCTATTTTTGGGGTTTTTTGCACTAAGTTATTTAGTTTAATTTTTTTTTTTTCCGCGATTTTTTTATACTTATAGCCACTCAAACGTGATCGACCGTGCGGACCGTCAGTTTTATTAAAAAAGTCACAAATCAAAATAAAATCAAATATTCATACAAATTAGGAGTGTGAACTTCATCTACACTAAAAAAATTAACACCGAACACGTACGTTACTATAATACTATAGAACATGCCACATGAGCTCGTTCGCGATTGCATCGAATAATGATTGGGTTTTTATTAAATATGATATTTTAATTTTATTAAAATATTGTAATATTAAAAATTATTTGCCACCCTTGAGAAATTGCCGCCCTAAGCACTAGCTTATAGTGTTTACTGGGGAATACGGCACTGCATGTACAATGCAGTTATTTAGGAAAATAATTCCTATTGAACTAATATATTCTGACAACAGTATTTTATACGACCAAGT